TTCCCCCTCGCGTCTCCACGGATAATCTGAAACGGACTTGGGCGAGCGGTACAATTCCGTGGCGAGCTCATACAGAAAGGAAGGATACAGGCTGTATTGTGACACTGACTAACATGCATTACTGTTGTTGCCGTGTAATGTTCGCCATTTTTACTTTTTTTTGCATGAGTCTGAGAATGAAATAAAAGGGACCCTAGGTTTTGTCATTCCACTTCTACTCAATTCTAACGAAGAGCTAAAAACATTCCTTCAGTAAACAGTGAGGTCGTAGATCAGACTGGAGAACTGTAACGATCCTAACGCGTTTTCCGAAGTGCAGGTGGCATAAAGGTGCTGTAACATCAGTAAAAAAAAACAAAAAAATCTAGATGCTTCTCCCGTTTTTCCTTCGCGTAATTACTCACTGTTTAGTTTAACACAGACTGTAAAATTGTAAACTTAAGGTAAATATAATTGTCTTAAATTGAAATGTAAACCTGCTTAAACATAAACCGTTACTTTATTGGTTGTAGTTTTTTTTTCTTTTTTCTCTTTAAGAAACCCTCTGCTGACCGTTCATGCTTTCGTTTGCCCCGTCAATCGATCAGTGAACAGAAATCCGTTTCCCAGCCGACGTGAAATCCAAGGTTTCACCGGGCTTCACTAAATTCCCGCTGAGGTTGTTTGGGTCTGTTTTCTGGCCACAGGTTAAACTCAGTCCTGCAGTGATTCGGCGTCGGTGGTGACTCTCCACCGAAAGTCTCGTGTCGGTGTAGAACTGGGGGTGGTTTGCGGCCGGGAGCGGACTTCGGCTGTATCCGAGGTGCTGCCGAGAGGCGTAGTGCTCCGATCCTGTAAACGCGAGCTCGGTTCAGGCTCAGGCTCGAGGGGGACCTTAGACGAGCGGTTGCTTTCGAGAGACCCGAGAGAGAGAGAGTTGGTTCTCATTCAGTGTCACAATACCTTGTCACATCACCATAACATTCCACTTAGGTGTAGAACTCATCTGTCTCCAACTGAAGACAACGTTCATGCACTGAAGAAGAAAAAAAAAACAAACGTCTCTCCCCTTAGCTGAACAAATGGCAGTTATTCTACGCTTGAGAAAAAATACAGTAGTGAATGTGGAGCCGAGCCTGTCTGTATATCTGGTATCTCCAATTGCTTTGTTTTTACTGACCAGTATTCTGCCTACAGTTAGCTTCTGTGACGGTTTTATCGCTTAGCGCGCACGTGGTTGTGAAAAATTTAGACTAGCTTAAGAAAAAAAATAGAAAAAAAAAACAAAAAAAAATAAATCCTACTACAACCTGGTTATTGACGTAATACTAGATTTGTGTATGTCTTTTAAACGGTTCTAGTTTCACCTTACATGTTATAATCAGGAAAGTGTAAAAGACAATTTAAGTGAAATAAAAGTTTTATCAGTTCCAAATTTCCCTGTGTTCTTATTGACCATCGTGTTCACCTAAATGTGTTATTTTTAAAAGGGGGTTTCACAGAATTTTTCCAATTTTTGGCTGGTTTGGTGTGAAATGGCTCAGATTTCTGTACAGTGGTGGTGATAGGAACCAGGGGTCGCCATGACTACAACACAAATATAGACATTTTATTTACTATTCACTATTTTTATTTACTAATCACCAGTGAACCTACACACGTCTTCTGGAATGTTGATGGCGAATGGGTGGACAAATACATATTCATCTTGCATAACTTTTAATATACACTGAGTATCTGGCAGTTGTAGCAGTTATAGATGATTATGATTTGTGACGTATGTATGTGTGTGTGTGTATGTGTGTGTGTATATATATATATATATATATATATATATATGGTGTGTGTGTACATGCAATCATAATTTGCACTGGTCACTAAACCAGTGAATCTTAATGGAAATATCACATATAGCTGAAGTTTGTGCACCCCTGGTCTAATTCCATATTTTGTTGATTTTCTGAGTGTGAATAAGTTAGCACATCCTCTACAGAGACACATTCTGCACATTTTAATACATGATTATTTACTGCCGGTAACATTTTTAAAGAAAATCAACAAAGTGTAAGACCAGCTTAGCAGGTGACGACTACGCTGACCACATGGTCACATCAGCTCTCACAGAGGCTGCAGTTAACGAATTCTGACAAAATCTGATTTGATGCTGTCGGCTCTGTGTCCAAACAGGGTTGTTAACCTAATTTCTGCACGCCTCCTAGTGGCCATCCTGTAAGGAATGGAAACTGATGATTTTTTGATAATATAATCAAAATTTCAATTCAAAACATGAATTATAAATTACATCAAAATATTTTTTGGTTTTAATTAAAACATTTCAATTCAAAGCTGAAATGTTGCCAAGAGCAACATTTAGCCCTGATAGTAAATCCAAAAGAACAAAAAGTTCGGAACATCATAATGTCTAACTTGCATTATGATTCAGTGCCATATACTGTTTACTGAAGTAGCCTAGTAGGTATATCAGCATCTTATACAGTCAACAACTGAATATCAAATCAAATGAAGTACAGTTCAGTCATATTTCAACAACATTTATTGTCAGTTTTCTCTTTTTAGAGCACGACATGTTAAATAATCCGGCTCACTTTCTTCACTGACTGCTGTTTCTCGCCTCGTCCCTCCCCTGTGTGGCGCCACTCACTCGAGTTTCAGTGCTCATCATAATGCACAAATCTGATTGGCTGAGAAGCGTCACGTGATATTTACAACGCATGCGATTGGTCTGTGAGTCTCCCGGGCCGCTAAAGCTATCGTAAAGGCTAGAAATGATACGCCAATTAAAATAGGACCACCCCATCAAAATTAAATAATTCTCCATAGTGTATCGGTTGGTGTCCAGGTCCGCATAGGACAGCATCTGGGTCTGGACTCGGACCGCGGTCTGCCTGTTAGTGACCTCTGTTCTAGATGTTTTTAAAAAAAAAAGCTGCAGCATGAAGTTTGAGTTTTACGTTATGTTTACGTCGCGTCTTCTTCTGTGAGTTTATTGGCTGGTTTTACAGCAGAAATCTGATTACTGTCTGACTTATGTAGACCTGGAGTTTCCCCCATTATCTAATTACTCAAGTGCATGTAAATGTGTTGATCGGATTACTGACAAAATCTGATTTTCTGCAGGTATCGGATTATTAAGTGCACGTAAACACACTCAGTCTCAGTCATCAGGCAACGTATTCATTTCATGTAGTAACTCCCTGTGAGGGAGCTTTTAGAGGTGGACGTCTGGTTCCTATCACCACCACTGTGAACAGTTCTGACTCTGTAAGTTTCTCTATAACAGAGCGTTTCACACCAAACCACTCAGCAGTGTAATAATGCAGACATTTTTCAAAATGGGTGGCATTCCCCTTTAAGGCTCTGAAGGCACTATTGTGGACTTGCATACATTTCGCTGTTTACTGTATTAGTTTAATCCAAATGCATGAATTTTACATCTCCTTTCTAGAAGTAGTTGTGAAAAATATCATCTGTCTCGAGTCTCAAAGCAACACAGGTTTCTTTATTGTCCAAGTATTTCGTCATACATGAATATGTAGAATACAGGAAACTCTAAAATGATTTTAATACATAGCGAAATTGAAATAAATTCATTCAGGGGTACCACTTTAGAATAAGACTACCCTTGTGAAGGGTACATGAATGGTTTAAAATGTGTTTATTAATGGTTATTACTTAGATCGAACACTCTATAAATCATTTATAAGCAGTTATAACATTAATAAAAAGGTGAGCTCATACACCCGATGAATATGAAGGTGTGATGAAGCTGTCATTTAACGCTGACTGATGGATTAAGATCAATAAGCATCAAAATCTGAGCTTTAACAGTATAAATGAATGTAGGTTCACTATTAGGCAATCAATAGCCCTTTTTATTTGTGTTTTAACTGCTGATTGATGATTATAAGGTGTGTATGACATCATTAATAAATATTAATAAACTCATTTTAACCAGTCTGAAGGGCAACAGTGATCTGATGTCTGTCTGATAGTGAACCCACATTCATTTATACTGTTAAACCTCAGATTTTGATCTTGAACTGATTTTCCTTTCTTCTCGATCAGTCAGCATTAAACTATCAACTTCCTCACATATTCATACTCATCAGACATAACAGCTCACCTTTTTGTTCATGTGTTGTAACTGCTTATTAATGATTTTCAAAGTGTTTATGACCTAAATAATAACTATACATGAACTTATTTTAAACCATTCATAAACCCTTTATAAAGGTAGTCTTATTCTAAAGTGGTACCCATTCAGGGGTTCTACATGCAATTGGATTGATCCTTAGAATTCAGTTCGAGACTGAAGCGCCGCCACCTTGAGTTACGTGTTGGTGTTGTAATGTCATAATTTTCAGTAAGCATTTCTATAGGCAGTATAACAGTCCACAAGCAAACGAGTACATTAGGCTTTAATATGCGTTCTTGGCTAAAATAAAGGTGTGAGCATCGGAGTTTAGAACTTTGGGATTTTATTAATGATGCCCTGTTATTTGCATTAATTAATACTTGATCAAGATGTGGATTTTACATCACTGAGCAAGAACAGACTCTCAAAATAAACATCTATACCCTGATAAAAGTACAAAAAGTACAAACCAGTGCAGTGTAATGAAAGACAGTACATTAATAATAACAAACCCTTATTTGTCATTTGCACAAAGAAACTGGAATAGGGTAGTCAGTCCTTCACCGATCAATACTATAAGAAATGGTCAATTTTTAAGCTTTTTGCTGCATTGGTATCAGAGTTGGTGCGTGTATGTATGCTGAAGCAATTTGTTGACCATCATGCACTTTATCACTGGATGGGAAGGAGGTAACGAGGCATTTGGCCATTTTATGTTATTACGTTTTAACTCTATGCCAGTTTCCAAGTCAAACCATCCACCTCCATGAAACGAGTGTGTCTCAATGGGGGGGAGCAGCTTTGAGAGGCAGATCAACTTGAGGCACTCGAGGGATTGCATTCCTCATGTCTGTGGGAGCCTTACAAAATGTTATTTCATCTTCTGTACTTCCTGCAGTAGCTTCTGTGCAGCTGTGTTCTTTGGCTCGATCTTCAGCAGGCTGTTCAGATCCTGCACACAGGCTTTCTTGTCCTGAGGAGAGATTACAGACCATTAATTACCAAACAAATAACCGTTTCTGCATTCTAGACCTGCATTGCTCAGTTACAGCGCTCTTCACCGGACAGTGCGGTATGGCCAATTTACAGCCCAAGCTCGGTCAACATAATACAGAGTGATTCAAAAAGATTCATCCGATTTCCAAGCGTCATATTTTTATAACCGTGAGGCACCGAGGAACCAATCACAATCCAACTGAAAGAGGCCATCAGTGGAAGATGGCTCCCTTCAGTCTGAGAGGAGATGGGACCCCTGAGCAGAAAGCGTTCTGCGTTCTCCACTTCAATAAGAGTGAATCCGTCATAACTGTGTGTGATTTTCGTGGGCAGTGAAGCTCCAACAGCTCAGAGCGTTCGGCGTTGGTTCCACAGCACTGGATGATCTCCGAAATCGCACTGAAAGAGCCGCGAGTGCAGCGACACCCGACATGCTCAATCCAGTATGGGATGAGTTTGACTATGGTGTTGATGTTGTCTGTACAGCTGGAGGAGGTTCATACTGAGACCTTCTACAATTACATAATAAACTTTATGCTCCTTAAACCATTTACAGTTCACTGCATTGATCTGTAACGATTTACAAGTGAAATCAATAATTCTGAAATCAGATGAATCTTTTTTTAATCACTCTGTATTTCCAGAGTGGAGATTAAATCTCAAAGCAGACAGCTGGACAAAAACGTACTGTAACCAGATGTTGTTATATATGATATTATACAGTATATATGTTCACAGAATTCTCAAAATATTCCAATTAACAGTAATAATAAAACGCACGTTGTGAACTTATTGTAAATTCAAGCGATTCCAAACTTCTGAACAATAATACAACTTTTACATGCCATTTAAATTACACGCAGGGCTGAATGATTTGGTGGAAAATTGGTGGATTTTTATGACTAATATTGCAATTGAGGGGCTCCGGCGTGCCGCAACCGTCTAAGCCAGGGGTGTCAAACCATATTTAAAAATCTCAGCAAATCTCTGAGCCAGATGTGTTTTCATTTCATTTTTACTTAACATTTGGCATGACCCAAACGGGCCATCGTTTATTCAAAATATACCGAAACTGCAACAACAAAATAGGCACTGAATATTTATCCAAAAATAATTCTAAATAAAAATAAATTGTTTTATGTAGTTTTTTTTAAATGGCCTATTTACTTGAACGAGACACCAGACATCTTTTCTTTTTGTGTAACCACTGACCCAGAGATGCTGCTGTGGGTCAGAACACACACTATGTTGCAGTGCATGCTGGGGACTGTAGTGCATCTTAGGGTGAAACGGGCTAATAAGTATAGAAAATGAAAATAATTTCACGGGCCAAACAGGACTGTGTCGTGGGTCTGACTTGGCCCACAGGCCTCGTGTTTGCCACATGGGGTCTAAGCGTTGGCCCTACCATCAGGAGATCGCGAGTCTGATCCCTGGTGATGCTACAGCCATCCGTGGCCGGGAGTCCAAGAGAGCACAGTTGTCCTCGCTCTCTCTGGGTGGGTAGGATGGCCCCCTGTCTCCCCCATCACTCGGTGTGATGCTAGTCAGCGCAGGCGTCTGTTAGCTGACGTAATGGATCTGGTGGTTGGCGCTTTCCTGTGAGCGCGTTCGACTTTGTGTGATGCCACAATGACTTTGCATTAGCGGCAGTTCAAAAAGATGCGGTGGTGCTTCTCAGGTCTTGGAGGATCCTGTGCTAACCTTCACCCTCCTAGCGCATCGTGATTGGGAGAGTCCTAACTAGTGGGTGGAACTGGATACGAGAAATTGGGGGGAAAATAATAAAAATTGCAACTGCAATTTCAATTGCGGTTATTTTCTATAAAGCAATTTTCAGGCCGGCGTTTTGGCCAAAAAGACCACAATATCCATTTTTTCAGGCCTGAACTCTGAATGTAATGTGCCAGACTGCCGGTAAATGGTGGTTGTGATGTCAGAACTCATGCGATTTGATAATTGTGGTCTCAAAGTGCAATTTTGATATAAAAATAATTAATCTTTCAGCCCTATTTATGTCTGGTCTGCACTATTTGTAGCTTCCCAGTTCGTACCAATTGTACCACACCGTCCGATGGAAAAGCTCTGTTGCTTCCTGCCGTGTCACACCTGATTCAACTCATGAAAAACATCTGAGGAGCTGAATACGTTTGTAATAGCAAAGGAAACAGCCCTGTGCAGGAGGACGTTAGAAGTGGGAACATCTGTGCTTCTTACTTTCAGCTCCTTGTAAGCCTGTGCACGTCTGTACAGAGCTTTAATGTTAGCCGAGTCCAGCCGAAGAGCCTCTTCACAGTCTTTCACAGCTTCCTTGTACATCTTTAGAGACAGGTAGCACAGAGCCCTGCGAGCAGAGAGACAAGGGAGAATTAGAGACGATAAAAATATTTTGAAATTTCATCCACATGACTGTGGAGCCTTGTGATCCATCAAAACCTAAACATGGTTCAGTCCATGTAGATTTGTCTTCATATGCATGGCTTAGTGGAATCATATGAAGGTTTTCAGAAGGGGTTGGCAAAAAATATGATACTTAAGACAATTTCAGTTTCTCTGAGGATCGAAGGCGGAACAGACAGTAAAAAAGCAGTGATTTCATACACTGTGCTGTACTAAATCTAATAAAACAGGACTAAATGTGCTCTGTTTGAGAAGAAACATGCAGTTCTTCAGTGTACAAGTACTGACAGCATTCACAGTATATTCATAAAGGCGTTTTGTGACATTATTTATCACCATAATGATACACCGATCAGGCATACCATTCTGACCACCTCCTTGTTTCTACGCTCATTGTCCATTTTATCAGCTCCACTTACTATATAGGTGCACTTTGTAGTTCTACAGTTCACAGAGCAGGTACTATTTGGGTGGTGGATCATTCTCGGCACTGCAGTAACACTGACGTGGCGGTGGTGGTGTGTTAGTGTGTGTTGTGCTGGTCTGAGTGGATCAGACACAGCAGTGCTGCTGGAGTTTTTAAACACCTCAGTGTCACTGCTGGACTGAGAACAGTCCACCAACCAAAAACATCCAGCCAACAGCGTCCTGTGGGCAGCATCCTGTGACCACTGATGAAGGACTAGAGGATGACTAACACAAACTGTGCAGCAGCAGATGAGCTATCGTCTCTGACTTTACATCTACAAGGTGGACTGACAAGGTAGGAGTGTCTAATAGAGTGGACAGTGAGTGGACACAGTGTTTAAAAACTCCAGCAGCACTGCTGTGTCTGATCCACTCACACCAGCGCAACACACACTAACACACCACCACCACCACGTCAGTGTTACTGCAGTGCTGAGAATGATGCACCACCCAAATAGTACCTGCTCTGTGAGGGTCCATGGGGGTCCTGACCACTGAAGAACAGGGTAAAAGGGGGCTAACAAAGTATCAGAGAAACAGATGGACTACAGTCTGTAACTGTAGAACTACAAAGTGCACCTATATAGTAAGTGGAGCTGATAAAATGGACAATGAGTGTAGAAACAAGGAGGTGGTCAGAATGTTATGCCTGATCGGTGTAAATACTGTCATATCGCCCCACCCCTAACTTTGAGCCTCTACTGAGAGCATTTACACAGTACAGGTGCAACAGACAATAAAAAAGCAGTGCTACATTTAAAGAAAACACATCCAAAACTATTCTAATTCTTATGTAGATTAATAATAATAGTTATAATATTTAAAATGTATTATATAAATATAATATCATTATAGAAACTCTTACTAAATATTATAATGTATAATAAAAGTCAAAAACATATAAAACCAAGTTAATACCATGATTTTATTCAATGTTTCAAACTCTGTGCTGTACTGAATCCAATTAAACAGGACTAAATGTGCTCCCTTTGTGAAGAAACATGCAGCTGTTCAGTGTATAAGTACTGACAGTGTTTACAAAATATTCATAAAAGTATTTTGTGACATAATTTATCACCATAATGATAAATACAGTCATATCGCCCCACCCCTAACGTTTACACAGAGCAGAGATGTGACAGCATTTTGATGGAGAAAAACTGAGCTGTAAGGTTTTACCTGTTTGTATACGTTGTGACCTCAGTGGGGTCCTGACCGAGAGACTGTGTGTATTTCTCGACTGCCTTCTTGTGCTCTCCTTTCTTCACAAGAGCGTTACCCTCCTCCTTCAGAAGCCTGGCCTTTTTGACGTCACCAACTGCTGATAATGCATTACATTCAGACAGATTAATAAATTGACATATTATACATTAATTAGCCATTCAGTAGGTACCCTATGGGCCAGTTTCCCAGACAAGGATTAAGCCTAATTCTGGACTACATAGGATTATGAATGTAAATATAGACCATTTTCACACTTCCGTGTTCGTTAATGCAGAAGAGTAAATAGTAGCGTTAAACGGCTTCCGGTCGCGTTGTAAACGATGGCTGATACTGCCCGAAATCATTGCTGCGTTTCTAAATGCACCAATAATTTAACTAAACAGCCTCACCTGAGTTTCCACTCGATCAGGCAACCAATCAAAAAAGAGTAAAACTGAGCTGTAGAGTGAAAACAGCCTGTACAGGACAGATTTACTCACATTAGTGATTAAAAATGCTCTATAATAAATATTCATTCACTGCTGTGTTTAAGATCCTGGAGATGGTCGTCACAGAGGTTTGATTAAACACCCTGAGACACTGACTCGTCTCCACTGCAGCTCAGTGATCAGTAACTGTACTGTAGAAATACGACGCTGTGTCTCTGAGCTGGCTATGGTGTTCAGGGCACTGGCTAATGTTGCTATTGTTTGGCGACGCTCATGGCGGCTCGGACTCGGATTTTTCTGTAAAGCCGCTTTGTGACAACACCTGTTGTAAAAAGTGCTTTTTCTCCAAAATCAAGCGCAGTGAGTGCAGGTCTGTTTAGGGATGTGTGATGTGGTGTTGAACATAATAATCCGCTCCTTCTCTGCTTTGCAAAACCCGTCTCAGGCAAATTCCTCACAATTCAGACGCGGATTTTTGCGGAAAACATTCCACCGTCTAAATGCACCTGCTTTGACACGGAGATGCGCTTTCAGACGTGGGGTCCGTGGCTCTGTTGTCTGCCGCAGCTTACTCTGTTTACCGGGCTGCCCCTGAGCGCCACACGGTGGTAAAAACAGCCCACGGCGGCAGACGCGCAGATTCATACAGAGTCCAAATGTTTTTAAGTTCTGCGCGACGAGCTTTAGCCACGTCAGACTCGCCTTTCTGCTCATGTTAGAGGAGCTACCAGACATACAAACTGCTCCTCTGTTAGCCGAGCTGAGGCCGAGGGGCGATTTTTGAGGGACGCTGAAAACTGAGGCACCGCCGTTGCCGCTCTGTTAAACGGTGCAGGCGGACGGATGTACAGCCGGATGTGACGACGCAGTGACTGTGAAAAAGGTCCGTTCTACTGGAAGTAAACACAAGTCCATAAACAGGCTTCACCTCTGTCTAGGACACCAGCCATATATGTCCAAAAGTATCCAGACAGCACTACTAATGAATGAATTCAGCCTCTTTAAGGTGAACTCGTTGGCTTTTGTGCTGTGCAGCAGTGGAGCTGCGCTCTCTGGAGTGATGGAGCTCCATCTAGGGCTGAACGATTCGAGGAAAATATCTAATTGTGGCTTTTCCGACTAAAATTCCGACTGCGATTTAAATTGCGATTATTTTTCCTAAATTTAGGTTCAGGCCTGATATTTTTTGGCCAAGAAGACCAGAATATCCACCTTTTCTGGCTTGAGCCTTGACCCCTGAATGCAGTGTGCCAAACTGACAGGAAGTCATGGTTGTGATGTCACAACACATGGAGGTCGGGTTGCCTCTGACTGATCTAACTCATCTACAAGCATTTCATAAGCTTTGTGTTATTAGGTTACATTTCCTCTCTTTAAAGTACGCTCTTAAAAAAGATGGTTCTTCAAGCGTTCTTTAGTACAGACAATGGTTCTATATAGAACCGTGAACAATCAAAGACCCATTTGCAGGCTTAGAGAGTTCTCTGCATGGAGAAATCGTTCTTCGGATTGATGGAGAATGTGTTGTATATGGTCTGATATAGCACCTTTTTAAAAAGGGTTCTATAGAGCACCAAGAAGGTTCTTCTATTATTACATGCTTGACACAGTAACAATAGCAGAACCTTATTTGGTGCGATACAGAACCATATACAACACATTCTCCATTAATCTGAAGATGATTTCACCAAGCAAAGGACCATTTAAGCATGAAATGGTTCTTTGAGTGTTCATGGTTCTATATAGAATGACTGTCTTTACTAAAGAACCATCTTTTTAAGAACGTTGAAGAACCATCTTTTTTTAAGAGCACAGGCTATAATAAAAAACTGCACTCTCCATTTAATACATCTGAGTTGGAGTGATCCAGAACTGACCATCTAACATCAGTACCTGACCTCACTAATGCTCAATCAAATCCTCACAGCAATGTTCCAACACCTAGAAGCCTTTCCAGAAGAGTAGAGTCTGTTACTGCAGCACAAACTCACTGTTAAGACCCTTCATTTCAGAGGAAACACTGCTGTCTACAGACTTTTGGACACTATAGTGTTCACATAAGTCTTGAAATAACAAAGAAGCGGTTTCTACTTTTATTGCTGTTCTCCTTGATGCCGTTCTGCTGGGCAGGGGGCGCTGAGCTCGCAGCTTGCAGTAGTTTCTCCTTCACTTCCAGGGGAACAGTGGGGATCGGAGGAAGCTTCTCGCGCCAAGCTGGTCCATCCATGTCTGTCAGGGCCTTCGTCATTCTAAAAAACAAACAAACAAATAAATAAAACACAAGATTAACTGTATTTGTAAAAATTCCAGTTTCAGTTTAAACCATGCTTCAAAAGTTTGGAATCACTTGTCATATCAGTCTGTTTTTTTTGTATAATTAACATTTTTCATTGATTTTTCTCTTAGATTAATACAAAACCACACGTATCAGTGTTTGTAACATAACCCCCTTTATCCTCCCCCTTCCCACCCCAGCTGTGTCAGTGCTACATTCATGACCTGGTTTAATCCAGTGCTGTACAAGGCTCTGTACAAACACACAAGCCATAGTAATAGATAAATCAATCAATAAATAAATAAGCAAAACGACAAAATAAATAAGAGTAAAAATGGCAATCAGTCTATTATTTTATATACAATAACATATTTAGTGTGGATTTACATATTACAATATTATTGATATTTATAGATGTTTTATTTAATATTTCAAGAATTCTGCGAATAAGAAGCTGAAGTTGCGAATTGTGAGCCGGCCTCACACCAAACCACTTCTCAAGCGATTTCACTGTCGCAGACAAATTTCCAAAGTCGGAATAAAATCATGGGGAGTCTGGTTAGAGTCGCGTCGCATCATCTCGATCGTTTAGTGTGAGCTGGTCAGGACGGCGGTCCTAAGTCAGTCTTTTTCTCGTCTTGACGCTGCGACAAAATCAACCGTGTTTAATATTATTGTAAGTTTTAAGTCTTGGCTCATGCAAACTGTGACGGGCCAGGGGCGCGAGAGAGCAAGAGCATTTGAGCAGCGCAATAAACAGAGAGAGAGAGAGAGAGAGAGAGAGAGAGAGAGAGAGTGTGTATGTGCAAGGGAGAAAATGCATACGTCATACGGGTTTATCTGCGCGTAAATTTCCACCAGGTGCATGATGGGGAATAATCTCAAATATCTAGGTGCAGTCCTGCAAACAGTGACCCTGCAAGATCCCCAGTCTTTGCAAAATCACAGTCTGTGACTACAAACTGACATTGTCTCTAGATGTGAGAGGGTGTCTGACTTTAGTCTTTCAAAAGTCTTTTCAGAGTCTTCTAGGGTACGGTTAGCATTAACTGTCGCCCCATTTGTGCCTGAAACTTCATACCTGAAGTAAAGGGGGCGCTGTTTCCACATACTTTGGGCTACTCGTATTTTTACAGAGCAGATCACTGAAAAGACGCCATCTGAGATCCAGTTTATAGTTCAGATTTGTGGAAAAATGGGTCGACTTTCAGTACACACAAAAAATTGAGTTCAGCTTCTTTTATTATAAAGTTTTAAAATTACATTACGCATCTATTTGACTGGAAAGAAGACTAGTAGCTTATGATGTAGCTTATGAAATATGAAAGTTATGAAGCAAAGAATATGACGAAGTGCGTTTTGGAACCACCGGTGGTTCCAAGGAGTTAAAAAGGTTAATGAAAACAGTAATTCCAGACTTCTGATTGCTGGTGTACTTTCCTGTAGTTGTGTAACAAGTGACCTAATAATCACGCAGTTGTTATTAATTCTAAATGGTGAGATATTTAATTTGAACAGATCATGTTTCATGATTTCCACATGGAGATCACACTGATTTATTTATATATTTTCTCAAAACCACAACACATTAAGATCAACTCCATCTAAGATTCATGCTTTATACAAGCACCTACCTGTTGGTGCCATCGTGAGCTGCCTGTACGTTGCAGTCGATCTGCAGTACTGTTTTATAGTCAACGTAGGCTTGTCTGTATCTCTCAATAGCCTCATAAGCTGCAGCGCGGCGAAGCAAGGATTTAATCCCAAACGGCACCAGCTCCAGGGACCTGTTATAACCAGTTCACAGTGAGCATAATTTATCCAGGTTAATGATGTTACAGTGAGCTTGAACACTTAAAGCATTACTTCAAGCTACGTTCTCAGTCCCACTTATCATTCAGTTCAATGTAAATCACTTTGTCTTGCAGTGGGAACAGTATTTAGGTCTCAATGGGGCACCATATGTTCAAAAGTATCCAGACACCCATTCTAGAAAGCAAATCACCTTAAGGTGCTACCATTACTGACAGAGGCGTTCAACTGCGCACAGACAGCTCGTCTCTGTGGAAAAGGCGCTGGGCTTTACAATAATAAGCCAACAAGTCTTCATAAAATGAAAGCAGTTCAATGAAAACCTGGACTACAAATGCGGCGATTAGTTTGGTTTGTTACTCTGAAAGCAAAAGGAAAGCAAAATTAAGACAGCACTGTATCAGAATAACAAAAACTCTGAAACTCTGTTCACATCAGAATACATTATGTACTGTAATATCTAAGAAGCAAGTCATATTAATAATCTAACCGGTAAGACAATTGGTTGCCCTCAGTCTCCCACTACTATCCATATATATATATATATATAGATAGTGGGAGACTGAGGGCAACCAATTGTCTTACCTGTTAGATATGTATATAGATATTAGGGCTGGTCAAGGCTGGACTACATGACATACACACATATATATATATATATATATATATATATATATATATATATATATACACACACACATACATATATGGTGATAAATTACATCACAATACAAGATGCGGTCGGTCAGTGTTCTTTAAGTACTGACAACATCCACTGTTTATCACAGCAAAATTTATCACAATAAACGATAAAATATCTTCATACTGCTGTTTCATGTTATGAAACACCTTGTAAATTTTTTTTTAACTCGATTTAAAATCCTACCTAGCGTGTTTATTTATTTGTGTACTGATTCTTTCTTTTTGGACCACCACAAGCACTGCACTTTGACCCCCCAAAACAAAAGTTTGGGCACCCCTAATCTAGTGTAGTTACTGCAGCACTAACTCACTATTAATCCCCTTCAGTTCAGGAGAAACGCTGCTGTCTACAGAGTTTTGGACATGTAGTGTAAATCATCAGTGTCCAAGGTGCCTGTTGAAATGGTCAAAATCTCAAGAACAGGATACACTGTAAGGTGAATGCTCCAACCACTACAGAGGACAGGCATTCATCATCTTACTTACACTGAGCAATCCTTAATGCATTCACTGCAGTTTCCATCCTTCAGGTAACTGGCTGCCCGATTTGAATACAAAATACTCAGATCCTCTGGTTTCTTCTGACCTGTAAATGGAATTGACATAACAGGTTATGGCTCATCATGATGCATCCATTCAGGAGGAAGTACACATTTTACAGAGGCTTTACAACAATAAGCTTTCAGGTCTTCATGAAATGAAAAAATACTGGACTACAAATGTTCAGATTAGTTTGTTACTCAAAAGTAACTGCTTCAGTTTCAGTAACGAGAGTAAAAAGAATATCCAGGAGTATAATTAAGACAGCTTTGTATAAAAAACATAAAAACTCTGTTCATATCATGATACATTATGTATCAGAATGTATTATAATACATATTATTAATCTAAGTAACACAATTGGTTGCCCCAAACCTCTCATTCTTTGTATATATATATATATATACACACATACACACACACACACACACATAAGGGCTGGGCAATATAACAGTATATATTGTTATCGTGATCAATTATGTCACAGTACAATATAAGATGCTTTTCTGAATGTATCCTGAAGACCCTGAAGAACTGCAACTGTTTCATTTTAAAGAGAGCAAAATTAGTCCAGTTTAACTGGATTTAGTATCAAATATTGAATAAAAAACACTGTTCACAGTTTTTGATAGTACATTTTTAAAATGTAGCACTACTGGCTCTTTTTTCTCTGTTCCAAGTGATCAGATGTCTGAAAAAATAAATGATATATCATGTATCATCATCTTTCAAACAGTGCCGTAAAAGTTAAAGGGGAATTCCAGTGATTTTTTTTATTTGAGTGTTTTGGTGTGAAATAATTTTTAACTTACTGACACAATATAAAATGTTTTCTGGTACTATTTTCCCCTCACAACACCCTGCATGTATCCCTCCACCATGCATGAATTTAAAAAACAGATTTTTAGGCCAAACTTATCATAAAACAATGTCTCAGCCATTGGGCAGCATATTGATAACCACTGTAATACCTTTCTGTGAGGGAGCTTTTAGAGGTGGACGTCTGGTTCCTATCACCACCACTGTGAACAATTCTGACTCTAGAACGGAGCGTTTCACACCAAACCACTCTGAATGACTCTGTTTATATCAGCATCAGTTATCAGTGGAATTCCCCTTTAAGTCAATACTGTGAAAGGGAACCTTACAGAGTTAATCAGACAGAAAACATATTTCTGAAACACAAACCTGCTCAAAACAACCTGAAGCTCATATTATTTACATTACAGTTTACTGTCAGGTCCTGGGCACCATCAGTGAAGAGCACTAAGTAGAATTCAAACGCTAAAATACACATCATACATCAGGTGTAATGCTTATTATCTATCCAATAAGTCATTAAAACTGGAAAGCAATATCATGAGGTGTGAGTCCGGCACACTTTACTGTCAGCCTGAGCTGTTCCGCGAGCTCCAAAGGTATCTGGAACGTATTTGCTTAAGGTGTTGTGAAGTAAAGTGAGGTTATTTTAGTCAGCAGGGAAGTTCAGCTACACCATTTCTAGGAAGATAAAACACATGATTCTGATCTCGGGCTGAAAGATTAATCGCTTTATATCAAAATCTCAATTTAAGGTGGTGCTATTTTTAAATTGCAAGTGCTGCATTTTTTTTTAAATAACAGCCTACACCAGGGGTCTTTAATTAAAATTCAATAAGGTCCAGTTAGAGAAAATTTCCTCAAGCGAAGGTCCAGAACATCATAATGTCTAACTTGCATTATGACTCAGTGCCATATACTGTTTACTGAAGTAGCCTAGTAGGTATATCAGCATCTTATACAGTCAATAACTGAATATCAAATCAAATAAAGTACAATTCGGTCATATTTCAACAACATTTATTGTCAGTTTTCTCTTTTTAGAGAACGACATGTGGAATAACTTCCCTCTGACTCACTTTCTTCTCCGACTGCTGTTTCTCGCCTCCACCCTCCCCTGTGTGGCGTCACTCACTCTAGTCTCAGTGCTCATCATAATGCACAGATCTGATTGGCTGAGTAGTGTCACGTGTGATAGTTACAACGCATGTGATTGGTCTGAGTCTCCCGGGCCGTTAAAGCTACTGTAAAGGCTAGGAAAGTTATGCTAATTAAAATAGGACCACCCCATCAAAATTAAATAATTCTCCATAGTTTATCAGTTATAGGTCCAGGTCCACATAGGACAGCGTCTGGGTCCGGACTCAGACCGCAGTCCGCCTATTAGTGACCTCTGACCTACACTCTTAAAAAAGAAAGTTCCTCAATGTTCTTAAAAAAGATGGTTCTTCAGTAAAGACAATCATTTTATTTAGAACCATGAACACAACACATGAACACTCTCATGCTTAAATGGTTCTTCACATGGTGAAATTGTTCTTCAGATTGAAGGAAAATGTGTTGTATATGGTTCTATGCAGCACCAAAAAGGGTTCTGCTATTGTGACAATGTCAAGCCTGTAACAACAGAAGAACGTTTTGCTGCTCTATAGAACTCTTTTCACCAATGTGCTATATAGAACAATCTACAACACAATGACCATCAATTTAAAGTACCATTTCATCATGCAAAGAACTTTTTAAGCCTGCAAGTGAGTCACTGAGTGTTTATGGTTTATATAGAACCATTACCTTTACTAAAGAACCCTTGAAGAACCATCTTTTTAAAGTGTGCACATTAGTAGAAATGTTGTTTTAAGTTTTAAGAGGGAAAATTGAACATGAGTTTGTAAAATGCCTGTAGATGAGTTAGACTGAGTTATGACCTGGTATCTCAAAATGAGATTTAAGATCATAATAATGACTTAATATCTTATAATTATTACTCATCTCATAATGACGACTTACTAACCTCTCATAATTACGACTCAGTATCTCATAATTATGATTTAGTATCTTATAATTACAACTCAGTATCTCATAATTATGACTTAGCATCTCTTATGTGTGACTTAATATCTCAATTATGATTCAGCATCTCATAATCATGACTTCATATCTCATAATTATGATTCAGCATCTCATAATTATGACTTAATATCTCAATTTTAGCTTAGCAGCTCATAATTATGGCAAAGCATCTTATAATTATGACTGTTTCTCATAATTATGACTCAATATCTTATAATTATCACTCACCTCATAATGACGACTTGCTAACCTCTCATAATTATGATTTAGCATCTCATAATTACAACTCAATATCTCAGAATTATGACTTGGTATCTCATAATTATGACCTAGTATCTCATAATTATGACTTAATATCTCGTTATTATGATTCAGTATCTCATAATAGTGACTTAATATCTCAATTATGGCTTAGCATCTCATAATTAGGATTAAGCATCTCATAATTAGGACTTACCATCTCTTATGTGTGACTTAAAATCTCATAATTGTGATTCAGCATCTCATAATTACGACTTGATATCTCGTTATTATGATTCAGTATCTCCTAATAATGACTTAATATCTCAATTATGGCTTAGCATCTCATAATTATGTCACACCATCTCATCATTATGACTTAATATCTCATATGTGCGACTTAACATCTTGTTATTATGATTCAGCATTTCATAATAATGACTTAATATCTCAATTATGGCTTAGCATCTCATAATTATGTCACAGCATCTCATCATTATGACTTAATATCTCATATGTGCGACTTAACATCTCGTTATTATGATTCAGCATTTCATATTTATGACTTTATAATCACTTTCTCATAATTATGAGGAGAAAGCTCGTGATTATGCAATACTAAGCCATAATTATGAGATACTAAGTCGTAATTATGGAGATCTCTCTCTTCACATGTTGGCTTTGCATGTTTTTTCCGGTAGAAACTCTTCTTACCCGACTTTTCTAGCATGTTGATGGCTTGGCTGTAGAGGGACGCAGCCTCTCCGTACTGCCCGGTCTTGAAGCACTCGTTGCCGGCCTGTTTCAGCTCTGCCCAGGACTGCGAGCGACGCTTCTGAGGCATTTTTATCAAACTTACCGGAGCTGAAAAGAGCAGAACAGATGATTACGGCTAGCAGGCTAAGCTAGCTACCGCTAGCGGGGTGGTTAGCCGTAGATGTTCGGTCCACTCAGCCGAGTGAACAGCATTAATAAAACATGTGGTTCGTTGCTGAAACAGCTTCTTACCTGAAAGTCGGCAGAAATACGATGAAGTATGAACTGTAAACTAGTTTAAACGCTAACTACCCGCGGGCTACCGCTAACTTAGCTAACGTTAAAGGAGACGCGCGGACGGCGGCGCGAAACCGAAATCAGAAGAAACGAACAGCTTTTCGGGCTCCGGCGCTTCTGCGCTGCGCCTTTTAGCTTAAAACAGGAACCAAACTTATCAGAAATACCTGAATAACTTCGATAAACGAGTCTACAGACCGCTAACCCTGCCCTTACTCTGCCTCCGGTAAGAAGCCGTGAGTCTCTACACTCCAGTTCATTCAGGAAAACTCCAGAAAATGCTGCTAATCTAGCTCAGTTAGCTCGCTGGGTTCCCGGTGAAGCTCAGCACGCTGACCGGCTCTGTGAGCCCCGGACTCGGTGTCAGATTTCGGTTTCAGTTCTCCGCTCGCCGGATTCGGTTTCTCTCCCGCGGCTATTTCAGGAGCAGAATGACCGGCCGACTAGTGCGGAATCCCGAGAACAGAGGGAGCTGAAAGTACACCGAGTCCAAAAGTAGTCTAATGTGCTGAGCCCCTGCGGTGACATGGTGATTAATTTTTAGTAAGGCGTGGCCACGAATTAACAAATTGAGGCCAGAAGTTTCTCGTAAGTTCTGGCCTCATTATAGTTAACTGTGGTCAGAATATAGTTATTGTTGGCCTCCATATATTAATTCATGGCTTCAATATATTTATTTGTGGCCTCCATATCTTAATTTGTGGCCTCAATATATTTATTCACGGCCTCAATATAGTAATTAGTAGTCTTAATATAGATAGATAGATAGATAGATAGATCGATAGGCAGATAGATAGATTATTGTAGTAATTTGTGGCCTCTATATCTTAATTTGTGGCCTCCATATCTTGATTTGTGGCCTCAATATATTAATTTTTGGCCTCAATATAGTAATGTGTGGCCTCCATATCTTAATTTGTGGCCTTCATATCCTAATTTATGGCCTCAATGTAGTAATATGTAGCCTCTATATCTTAATTTGTAGCCTCAATATATTAATTTTTGACCTCAATATATTAATTTTTGGCCCTATATGGTAATTTGTGGCCTCAGTATAGTAATTTGTAGCCTCCATGTCTTAAGTAGTGGCCTCAATATAGTAGTTTGTGGCCTCTATATAGTAATTTGTGATCTCGATATAGAAATTTGTGGCCGAGCCTCATTACAAAATAATCACCATGTCACCCTGAAGGCTCCAAACTAATGAGTAAAGTCAGCTACTTTAAGATGCGTCCATTGGTGACACAGGTGGTCATTTCTATAGAAATGAGCTTAAGGTCTGCATGCCCAATGCCAAGCGTGAGCTAGAGGGGTATAAAACCAGGACCAGTGGAACTGTGTTCTCTGGAGTGATGGAGCTCCATCCAGTACCTTTGGGATGATTATTGACCATCCAACGTCAGTACCTGACCTCACATATGCTTAATCAAATCCTCACAGCAATGTTCCAACATCTGGAAGCCTTTCCAGAAGAGTAGAGGTACTAATAGTGAGCACAAACTCACTATTAGTCTCCTTAATTTCAGAAGAAACGCTGGAGAAGCAGGTTTACGTCTAGAAAATATACACTGACACTGTTATACACACGTGTTTATGGCTTTATTTACCAGCTGAGCTATTTTGATGAACATTGACAGTGTTATTATTACTCATCTTCTTTCTTTCTGTCTTTCTGTCAAAAGCAGTCTCCATTCAAGTGGACAACATTTTAAACTAGAAGTGAAAAAGACAAAAAGATGGTTCCTCAAGGGCTCTTTAGTAAAGACAGTGGTTCTATATAGAGCCATGAACACTCAAAGAATGATTTGCATGCTTAAATGCTTCTTTGCTTGGAAATATTGATGGAGAATGTGTTGTATATGCTTCATTTAGCACCTTGTTGAAAGTGGTTCTGTTATTGTAACAAAGCCGAACCCTTTTTTGTGCTATTTACACCGATCAGGCATAACATTATGACCACCTCCTTGTTTCTACGCTCATTGTCCATTTTATCAGCTCCACTTACTATATAGGTGCACTTTGTAGTTCTACAGTTACAGACTGTAGTCCATCTGTTTCTCTGATACTTTGTTAGCCCCCTTTTACCCTGTTCTTCAGTGGTCAGGACCCCCATGGACCCTCACAGAGCAGGTAGTATTTGGGTGGTGGAGCATTCTCAGCACTGCAGTAACACTGACGTGGTGGTGGTGTGTTAGTGTGTGTTGCGCTGGTACGAGTGGATCAGACACAGCAGTGCTGCTGGAGTTTTTAAACACTGTGTCCACCCACTGTCTGCTCTATTAGACACTCCTACCTTGTCAGTCCACCTTGTAGATGACTCTGATGTCCTGTTACCATTTTTGTAATAAGACTCTTGCTTTATCAACTCATTTTAGGTGAAAATACTCCAGTGTCTCTCTTGGTAAACTAATCTTTTAATAGAATGTCATTAATTAGTGACGCTGATGTCTATTAAAATTATCATAAGCACAAAACACTGAAGGCAAACAGTTTCCATCAGGTAGAACTGAGTGGCTCTGAAATACCTTTTTGCAAACAAGCAAAATTTTGGTTTAAGATTTATTTGAACTTAGTTACAAGTTTAAGTTTAATAAAAACTTTAATCTCAGATTAACAAATGAGTTTCCTTTACTAAACTGCATCTGTAGGTTCATAAACATAAACTAGCAGAAACAAATTTACTATAAAATTAAAGTGTTTATATAAATTCAGAAAAAAGACACGTCAGTCACAACTGCATATGTGTACATATTTCTATATTGTGGTCTATTTACACAAAGTTAGGTTAGTTCATCATTTATGTTGAATAGACTCTCCCAAAATTTGACGCTGCTGCACTGATGTTGAACCGTGTGCTGCACTGGGTCGGTATGACCAACAGGTCAAAACAAGCTCAAAACAAAGTGACCGCTGTGCCCTGATTGGTGTTCTTACTTCACACTTCTTTCGTTTTGACGTTATGTTTTTATACACACAAAAAACAAAAGGAACGACAGATTTCTCATAATGTAGTGGAGTAAAAAGTGAGATATTAGACATTGAAATGTAGTGGAGTGAAAGTGAAAAGTTGCCCAAAATGGAAAAACTTCAGTAAAGTACAGATACACGAAAAACTACTTAAGTACAGTAACTAATTACCTTTACTTCGTTACTGTCCACCACTGTTGCATTTACATTTTATTGTTTTAATTTTAATTTCGTTTTTGGCTGGATTTGCCTCCCATAGAATCCCAGGCCTTGTGACGGGCCCCACCACTCCACAACTATCACTCGATGCAGAACCAGAAGTCCAAAGGGGTGGAGCCAGACCTGATCCAACTCCGCCCACGTCTTCTTTTCATTGATCTAAAATCATAGCATATCTATAGGTCTTTAAACTAGTATGTGTCGCTTACGTTTTCCGCCTACAACTCATTTCATTGGTCTACCCTGTCGCGTTTTTACCTGTGGGAAACCCGCAGGTGTTGCTGGTGTTTTTGTTTAATTTCTCGATTGTCGCTCCGTCCTGAACGCCACACTTGAAAAGCTATTTTTCACATTCCCGTACAAAGTCCGTCCTGTAGGCCTACATCTCAAGAGTACTTATGATAGACGGGTTCTAGCTGAAAATGCTGAACGTTTTTAAACACTAGGACGCACATATGACCGGTCAAAATAACCCACATAACTGTGTTTTATCAACTAAATCCTGGAATTTCATAATAAAAAATCTTTATAACGACTTTTTTTTTTACATTTAAAAGGATTTGGTACTACTGCCACACATTTCCATAAGTCTAATAACAATGACTCAATATACCTAAAATAAAATCATATTAAATGTTATATACCCTGATAGGCCACCTTATTGGCTCATTCTACCTTGTTTCTACACTCACTGTCCATTTTATCAGCTCCACTCTAGTTCAGACCAATTAAAACACGACGGGGGAGGAGTTGGATCAGATCCAGCTGAACCCCCTGGACTTCTGGTTCCGCAGCGGAGGCAGCAGTTCCAGGACCGCAATTCCAGGACCATATGTTTTCGCGACACTGCTCCCTAGCGAAGTGGATATAAGGACCGCATTTAACACGTGGAAAAGAGACACCATCCCAGTTTTAAATGACCATTTTTAACCCATTTGCTTGTTTGTGTGTGTGATTGAGGGGGATTATATCTTACTTGTTGAATCTTGTTGGTTGTTATTGTTGATATATTAAATAAATATTATGGCACCAAAGCCTTTCTTGTGTCTCAAATATCTGGTTGAGATTTAGTGACTGTAAAAGCAATATGTGCAATTGATTGTATCTTTATTTTTACACAGTTACACAAAATGCAACTCTTAGTAAACAAGTTTCATTCTGAGAAAGCAGTATTTGGGTGGAATAAGCTTTTAAAACTGTAAGTTAGATAAAGTAGTAGTATTTGGGTGGAATAAGCCTCTAAAACTGTAAGTTAGATAAAGTAGTAGTATTTGGGTGGAATAAGCCTCTAAAACTGTAAGTTAGATAAAGTAGTAGTATTTGGGTGGAATAAGCCTCTAAAACTGTAAGTTAGATAAAGTAGTAGTATTTGGGTGGAAAAAGCCTCTAAAACTGTAAGTAGTTTGGTAGACAGGAAGGAAAAACATATGGTCCTGGAATTGCAGTCCTGAAACTGCTGCCTCCTGTTCTGCAGTCAGACCGTGCTCGGTTCCGCAGCGAGGACAATCTGTGACAGGCAGCTCTTCACCCCGCCCTCGTCCTCGCTTCGCCTTCAGTTTGTCCCTCTCCGCGCGCTGTAGTCGGGCCTGGCTTCACAGCGTTACCGTAGAGCTGCGGACGTTTCCAGTGAAGGTCGCGAAGCGAAGAGGTGAGATTTTTTCCCTTTTTATTCTCTTTAACGCGCTCAGATGTCTTAGTGTATTGGGTATTTACGGTAAACTTGTTCCTGGCATATTTTTAAGGCAGTGTTTGGGTCATTTTAACCAGAAATTGGCACTAAACTCCGCTGAAATGCTAACCGAGTGCGCGCTGTGTGTCAACGGGAAGCGTGTCGGTTTAGTCAGCCTAGCCTAGCCTAGCTTAGCATAGCATAGCATAGCATAGCTAACCTGTGTAACTCACCGACTTTGCACCTGTTTATTTATTTTATGAACAATTTAGCCGAAATAGTCAAATACAGAACCGCGTTCTGTAGCTTTGCTCCTTTTATAGCTGTTTATTTTTTACCTTTTGTGGCAGGAAAGCGGTAATAACGGCTGAGCCCGTCAGGCTACCAGCAGCTAAAGTTGTATATTTAATTTTACTAAAGCGAGCAGAGGCAGCATCTCCTGTCTGTTTTGAATGGTAATCTTATTATAACGTTTATTCCGATGTTTTGGCGCCTGTGAGTCAGTAAGTAATGACAGCAGTGCAAGGTTAGTAAAGCAGTGTCATGACATTAAACAGCCACCATTCAGAAGTGGCCGGTGCTGCACGTCAACAGCTGCAGGTTAAGGTGGACCAACATTAAAGTGTTGAGACTGCACAGAGCCACTAAGGTGACATGGTGATTGTTTTTTACTAAGGCATGGTCACGAATTAATATTTTGAGGCCATGGATTAATGGATATAGACTACAATTTAATATATAGAGGCTCCAATTTACTCTGTTTAGAATGAAATTTACTGTATTGAGGCCACAAATCAGTATATCGAGGCCGTGAGGTATGAGAAACTTAATGTGTGGCCTCAATATATTATTTTGTGACCCCGCCTTATCACCTTGTCACCGTAGGGGCTCCTTTATACTAATAAAGTGGAGACTGAAGGAATGGAAATATGTTTGCACTGTACATATATTGTTTCCTTAATACTCAGTTTTGTTGTAGTCACACTTTAATGCTTCATCCCATACAAACATCTGCAGTGCTGATTTTCCCCGTCTCTCCAGATATTTCACCATGTCCCTCCCCAAGCCTGTGATGAGAGGTCTCCTTGCCAAGAGGTTGAGGTTTCACTTGCCCATTGCTTTCGGTCTGGCCCTTTTGGCTGCAACTACATTCAAGGTCAGTCGTGTCATCATAACAGTTCAGACTGAATCATCTGCATTTGGGAATGCTTTTTGTTTTCTAATTGCTTCTCCTGACCTTCTAATGCAGTTCACAGTAGCAGAGCCCCGGAAACAGGCTTACGCTGACTTCTACAAGAAGTATGACTCCGTGAAGGAGTTCAATGCCATGAGGGAAGCTGGTGTGTTTGAAAGCGTGAGGCCCTCTGGTGAATAAAGTGAGTCCTGCTGTTTGATCATACCTTTCATTAAAATACCCACAGGACAGTCATCTGGGTGCTCATGGCACATAATATAAAAATGTGATTGTGATTGTGAGGCTCACTTGAAGATTATTGTTTTCTGTGTTAAAATTTGTGGTGAGGTTTAATGAACAGTACGTTGGCCTGCTTTAATTTCTGTGTACCAGATACTATTTTAAATGGGTGGATATTTCTGCACAGTGTTAAAGTACAATATAAATGCTTATATATCCACATAAACCAATATAATATGAATTAAAATACATAATTAGTTTTTTTAACGGGAAAAAAAAATTAGTGGTTTAGATTTTTTGAGTTGAGCATATATATGTAAATTTTCAGTCTAATTTAAAATGTATGTGTACCTTCACAGAACATAGCCTATTAAAAAAGTTGCTTATTTATACATTGTGTTTTCGATAAACTACCAAAACACAATTTCTGTACATTGGTATCAGGAATATTTATGTCCAAAGAAACTGCACCAATGCCATAGGAAAACCACGTTTGGTTCCCTAAAGAACCACATATTCAAATGACGTTTGTGAGTGTGAAGAACCTTCATGTAGTATAAAGGTCCTTTACCAATTTAAGGTCCTTGTATTGCATATATAGTGTGCATTTTGCACACTTTAATCAGACGTCTGCTGTTGCTCACCATCTCTCTCGCCCTTACAGGTGATTTCTACCTCTGCATTCCTGGTCTGTTTCCTGCACCTTGATTATTGGATGTGAACATACAAATAAACTATTCTGAACTTCTGTCCTACTGCAATGATGTTTTGGGACCTCTGTGTGAAATAAAATGTCTTTTGACCCTCCACATGTGTTTGGCTACTTAATCTGTTAGCATCTGTTCCCATTTAGTCAAATTCAGATTCAAATGCCAAGTAAAACGGGACATTTGACAGTGTTTTGAATTGTAAAAGCCCATGTGATGCTTTGGAAAGTGTTTTATTGTGATAAACACCAAACTATTGTCCCACTGTGGTGAGCGAATAATAGACATGGTAGTTGAGTTTCAGTCTAACCTGTTTTTGTGCCACTCCAGAAGGGGAATCTGCGCAATATGGATAAAATTCCCTATTAGGATTTGCTATGCGTATTTTAAAGAAGCTTTAACAAACTGTTGGTGACATGATTAGAGATTGGCCTGTATTATTTTGACCAAAATTATTTATATAGGGTCACACAAATGCCTTGATTCATCAAAATAGCCATTCACTAAATTTTGGATCAGCTGCCCTGAATGCTCACAGCACATAATTAAAAATGTGATTTATTAGAAAGCTTGGATGCATATCATACGTAGCTTTCTGTAAGAACAATCACAAAAACCAAAATTGTGATCTAATAATACATTGTCCTCCCCTACTTTCTGTGGCTCAGCAATGGTATATTACACATAAAAAATAAAGAATGGTTTTGATCATTTTATTGACTAAATATGTGTAAAAAATCATATGTAGGTTTTATCGTTCCAATTCATTTCATCATTTTGTTTTACTCTTCAATATGTCAGTTGCTTTTCTATCAAAACATCCTGGGCTGGTTTTAAACGCAAAATCTCTACATAATTAAGTGGTTAATATGTAAACAGAGTCATTCAGAGTGGTTTGGTGTGAAACGCTCTGTTCTAGAGAAACTTAGCGAGTCACAACTGTTCACAGTGGTGGTGATAGGAACCAGACGTCCACCTCTAAAAGCTCCATCACAGAAAGTTCCTACATGAAATGGTTATGATTCACTGCCTGATGTCTGAAACACTGTTTATGATAGTTTAGTGATAAAGTTTAGGCCTAAAACGTCTCTGGATTGGATTAAAATAAATCCAAAACAGTGGAAATCTAAGCTTGTATTTTTAATGGTTAAATGCCAATGGTGTTGTATTTTAGTCCAAAACTAGACTTAATCCACATCTGGAATATCATTATGTCTTATAATATCTTATACCAATAGAATCCTCAATGACAAAGTGAAATTCCACCAATTTTCTTAATTCTTGCAATATAATGATAAAGATGTAAAAATCATTCAGGGTGATTTGGTGTGAAACGCTCTGTTCTAGAGAAACTTACAGAGTCTGAATTGTTCACAGTGGTGGTGATAGGAACCAGACGTCCACCTCTAAAAGCTCCCTCACAGAAAGTTATTACATGAAATAGTGACAAATACATTGCATAATGTGTGAGACATTGTTTTAGGATTGCTTTCAGATTTTAGCATGAAATACTTTTTAATACATTCACAGAGAGGTACACACCGGGTAAAACAGTGCAAAAAACCCTCTTTTTTAGATTTTCCACTATTTTATTACCATCATCAACATCCCATATAAACTCGTGTGAGAAGACTCGTGTAGGTGGTCACCACCACTGTAAAGAAATCTAAGTTGGCAGGTTTCTCTACAATGAATCATTTCACATCAAACCACTCTGAAGAACTTTGTTTACAACTAATTGACATAATTATACAGAAACTTTGAAAAATCGGTGGAATTCCCCTTTTAAACCAGCAAAGTCTTTTATTGTGAAGGGTATTTTTTTATCTGTCTGTCACAGTCGCATGATCTCAAACGGAGGCTACAGTGACCATCGATCTCCAAGCCATGCCATACCTCGTCTAGTAACATATCCCGCTTTCACATTCTTTGTAGATCGGCGCAGATCCTGCGATCTACATATCATAACGCGCCAAAGACTGTCCGTTGAAAATGACTTGTAGATCGGCGAAACGGCGCAGCGGGCTGGCGATGGACACAGCCATTATTTTGGAGGCGAACGGAAGTTTGTCGGACCAACTTCAACGTGTGGCAACCTCGAGACGTTTTAAATAGCTTAGCAGGAGCTCGCCGTTCCTTCTGACCTGTCCGGAAAGGTGACACCGTGGAGATTCGTTTGTTTTTAAGTGGTCCGTCCAGCTCAGTGCGGTAAGTCGCCGGTTTACCTGTAAGTTGCTAAGTTAGTGTTAGCTCGGTGGCTAATGACCCCCTCCGGCCTTTGTTAGTCAGATTCGCTCCAAACTCGAACTGTTCCAGCCGGTTCTGTTTACTTGTGGTCAGATATGAAGTCGGACATATAATAATGATCTATAGAGTTTATGGTTAACATCAGCTGGCTACCGTAGCGGAGTCCAGATGTGTTGTGTTGAGGCAGCTAATGTGCATTTTAGCTAACGTTAGCTGAACCAGACCAACTATGGAAGCCCGATTCAGCCTCATATATATAGCCAAAACATATATAACCATTTATTAAGTCGTAATAATGAGAAAGTGTTCCATAGTTATAGCTTAACATCTCATAATAATGATAATTTTCTCATAATCAAAAGAAAGTAAAGTAATAATTTTGAGATACTAAGTCGTTATGACTTATTCATTACTATGAGGTGCTAATGAGCCGACATTATGGGAAAATCATAATTTTAAGGTACTAAGTCATAATTATGAGATAGCAAGTCGTAACTGTGAGATTGTAAGTAATTAATGTGAGATACTAAGTCATAATTTTGACAGGTCATTAACATGAGGTATTAATTCATAATTGAGATTGAATGTAATTTTTGAGATACTAACTCGTAGTTGTGAGATAGCAAGTCGTAATTATGAGATTGTAAGTCATTAATATGAGACATTAAGTCATAATTGAGATGCTAAGTCATAACTTACAGTCATTTTTATGAGATGCTAGAATTATGAGATTGAATCTCATTTTTATGAGATACTAAGTCATAATTATGAGATGTTGACTCATAATGATGAGATGCTAAGTCGTTATTATGAGACTAAGTCACTTTTATGAGATGCTAACTCATAATTATGAGATATTAATTCAGAATAATGAGACTGAAACTAATTTTTATGAGATACTAAGTCATAAATATGAGATGCTGAGTCAATTATGAGATGCTAACTCATAATTATGAGACTGTAATTCATAATTATGACGGGCCATTAACATGAGGTAATAATTCATATTTGAGATTGAATGTAATTTTTGAGATAGTAAGATGTAATTATGACATACTAGGCCATTTATATGAGATGCTAAATCATAATTGTGGAATACTTTCTCATTATGACGTCCAAAATTGCTATATATATATGTATATATATATATATATAATATTTCTAGTCGTGGAAACGAGCTTCCATACCAACACCAGTACAGACAGAATTATTACTGAGGTAGAAATTTTCTAAAGCAAACCTGAGTAACTCCACATGAGGGCAGATGCTCCATGTGGGTTTACTGGGAATAAACTAGTGCAGATTAAATTATTCAACAATTTCAATACAGTATCAGAAAATCAAAACAGTGTATTGCAGGGCTGCGTGATCAGGCGATATCTTCTACACTGGTACACAGTGATACTGATGCACCATGATATTTCTTTCCAGTTTTAGTAATATATTTAATACAAAAAGAGTGATACATCCAAGATTGAATACCCCAAAATAAGTCCCTGTTGTTAGTTGTTAATTCTATTTAGTGTGCTTTACTCGAGATATTCAGGGCCTGACAGTGAACTGTGTCGTCTGCAATATGCTGAATGTTTCAGATTGTTTTGAAAGAACAATTTAAAGTCCACATTTTTCCCCAAAGCAGTCTGTGGTGTTTACAATCCACACATTTTTAACATATGAAGTATTGAGAATCTGGAGCTCAGAATCCAGAATCGTATCAAACCTTGAACTATGTTTAACGTTACACCCCTGCTAGTTCTGTTTGTTTAGGTTAAGTTGAGATGTCCAGCATGGTCATGTGTAAACATGGTACCAAATACATTCTTTGCACCAGTAGAACCTGTACAGCATGTTTGCTTCTTTCTCCTGTTTTCTGCTAAAAGGGCCTAATTTTTTTTAACTCTTGAGGACAAGAAATGCCTACTTTGACACACACACACACATATACACACACACACACACATATACACACACACACACACATATACACACACACACACACATATACACACACACACACACATATGCACCGATCAGGCATATCATTATGACCACCTCCTTGTTTCTACACTCATTGTCCATTTTATCAGCTCCACTTACTATATAGGTGCACTTTGTAGTTCTACAGTTACAGACTGTAGTCCATCTGTTTCTCTGATACTTTGTTAGCCCCCTTTTACCCTGTTCTTCAGTGGTCAGGACCCCATGGACCCTCACAGAGCAGGTACTATTTGGGTGGTGGGTCATTCTCAGCACTGCAGTAACACTGACATGGTGGTGGTGTGTTAGTGTGTGTTGTGCTGGTGCTGAGTGGATCAGACACAGCAGTGCTGCTGGAGTTTTTAAACACCTCAGTGTCACTGCTGGACTGACAATAGTCCACCAACCAAAAATATCCAGCCAACAGTGTCCTGTGGGCAGCGTCCTGTGACCACTGATGAAGGACTAGAGGATGACCAACACAAACTGTGCAGCAGCAGATGAGCTATCGTCTCTGACTTTACATCTACAAGGTGGACTGATAAGGTAGCAGTGTCTAATAGAGTGGACAGTGAGTGGACACAGTGTTTAAAAAGTCCGGCAGCACTGCTGTGTCTCATCCACTCAGACCAGCACAACACACACTAACACAGTGGGCCAAAAAAATGGCCAGTATGCCACAAAAGAAAACTGATGTGTCCCAATTCAGGGGCTGTGTCCTTCGAAGGCTGTGTAGCCCCGCAAAGGCTAAACCGAACGAGACGGTCTGCTCTACGGCGGATTTCCCGTTTGTGTCACAGCACCGCTGTTCCCACCCTCACCGCTGCTCTTCTAAAGTTCTTTTAAAGTTCTTTAAGGACACATGTCTCGGCCGCGTATGAAGGGGCCTCCGAAGGATGCAGCCCCTGAATTGGGACACAGCTATGGAAAAGTATAGGTCACAGGCTCAGAAAACCAGTTTAATAGTATGATGGCTGTAATTCACAGTGCTTTTTGCTACAGACAGTTGAAGTTAGACTCAACTAACATTGTAACTTACAGAAATTCATTCTTTTGATTCTTCTGCACGTCTTTCTCACAGGTGCCAAGCTGGAGCGTCTAACTGGAGTCTAAGTCAGTCGTGTCTCTCCATCCGTTGGGCCTTTGAACGTCACTCAGGCCTCCTTCTTCCTGGCCCACATGAACGCAGGATTCCTTCTCGGCTGCGCTGAGCGCCATGCCTGACCGGGATAGCGCCTATCTGGCAGGCGGCGGTGGGGGCGGCAGCGCAGCGGGGGTGGGCGCAGGGGTGGTGGGTGAGGACGGGGGAGCCAGTTCTGGTTTGTCCGGAGGCGGCGAGGGCCGAGGGGGAGTCGGCGGAAGCTCGGCTGGCTGCGGTGGGGGCGGCGGCGGGTCTGGGGCCATGGGATGCGGCGGGGCCCTGGGTAACGGCCATAACTGCGGCGGAGCCGGCGGGGGCTTCGGCGCCGGTCTGGCGTTAGACGGCGTGTGCCGGGACTTCTTGCGCAACGTGTGCAAGCGCGGCAAGCGCTGCCGCTTCCGCCACCCGGACTTCAACGAGGTGCCTGACCTGGGCGTGCAGAAGAACGAGTTCATCTTCTGCCACGATCACCAGAACAAGGAGTGCGTGCGAACCAACTGCCGTTTCGTGCACGGCTCCAAGGAGGACGAGGACTACTACAAGAAGACGGGCGAGCTGCCCCTCTGGCTGAGGTGGAAAGTGGCCGCGGGGCTCGGCCTGTCGCCCACCGACCTCCCTCAGAACCGAGGGGAGGCGCCCATCTGCAGGGACTACCTGAAAGGGGA